GCCCAAAACCAGTCAAAATGACTTCCTTGGGCAATCTAGTATTAATTTGGACGATTTCATAGATGGAACGTATCGATTATTTATTTTACGTGGAAAAGAAAAGATGACAATTTTAGGGAATGATTAACGTAATCTGGTAGTCGATGGTTGCACGGCTTTCCTCAATGAGTCTGTATAACGTACAATCGATGCGATGGCCTGTGTGTACTCGCGGCTTAGACGCGCGTTTGGTTTTGCACGCGTTGGTCACCTGCCGCACCCCCGAATTTGCGTGCCGGGCGTCAATGAAATATACAGGCTACCCTAAACGAAGCCGACCTGCCTTCGGCCAGGCGAATTTCACGCGTCCCTGGACGCAAAGCGAATCTGTCGACGAAGAATTCACCGTACGGCAGGCTATTTGCAATCCGCGTTTGTGGTCCCGTTTCAACCAGCCGTTTCCTTTTTTCAAATACTAAACACGTCCCGAAGGTGGATAATTGTTGCGTTTGCGAGTGAAGAATTGGTTACCGGTTGATAAAAAGTGAAACGTGTAACAGATTTTCTAAATAACAGGTTCCGGTTAAATTTTCATTCGACGGTGGCCAAGTTTTTTGAACATTTTCCGACCCGATAGAAATCGGTTTTTCCACGCGGAACCGTGAAAGGCAGTTTCGCCAAATAATTTTTCACCGATATTTCATGTGAATTGTTAAAACCATGAAAATGTTTAATTCGAAATACTGCGGACTACGTCAAAGTACGAATCCCGACTATTTCTGTTCGAATTCAAAGAATTTTTTCGGTATTCGGCAACCGAGTATTTTTCAATGACTGCTTTGTGTTCGAAACTATTTTCCACGGGACGGTTTAGGTAACGAAAAGGGGAACAATTGTTCAGCCGAGCGAGTTTTCGTTAAAAGAAGCTCGGTCAAAATTTCGTTACTTGTTTTTACAGAAAACAATTGACCAACTTTTTCTTAGAATAAAGAAGAATCGTAAGTAGATCGCGGATTCTTACGGGAAATAAGACACTACCTAATATTTCGTGTGTTATTATAAAATTCGTGATTGATAAACTGGAACTCAAAGAGTTTTACGATATAAAATGGTGGCAACCTCAGCG